TCCCTGCACATCCCCTCACTCTATAACCCAGACCGCTTAAGTCTTCATCGTTCTCATCACTCATCTGTTAACTTGCTTAATGTTACCTATTGATTCATGTGTTTCTTAATTTACTTCTTTGCTTATTTTCTGAGGCCTTGGAATAAAAGTGCGAGTTTTTTGAAGTCAGAATTATACTTTAATTCACTTCCATGTTCGCATTACATGAACAGTCCCTAACACATACCATCAAAGTTCCATACCTTATAATTGAATGCAAAATGATGAGACTGTGTCTGCTCGAGAGAAATCTGCTAAAGGTTCCTTAACACTCACCAACTCATCCAAGATGACTCCTACCGAATGTAGCCTTTTCACTCCCCACTCCAAAATCAGCTTGTACCCATTTCTCCTGTTGCAGCTCAAATTCTAGATAGTTCCCACTTCCCCACTCAGTAAACTGCATCACATCCTTTCTCCTCTAAATTGTTCAAGAGACCAGTGGATAAGCGGGAAACTGGAGTCTTCACTTTGCTTTCTCGTAATTGGCATCCCAGTGATCCTGGATGAACTAACCTAACAGCTCTGTGCCTCAGTTCCTCCTCTAAAAAAACAAAAACAGAAAATAATTACAGCTGTTGTCAGGATTAAATGGGATAATCTAAATGGAGCACTTGGAGGAGCATGGAACATGGTAAATGCTAAATATCCATAATTGTTCTGAGTCCCACATATTGAAGCATTTACTCAAAATGCTACTTTTACTTTAAAATTTCTAGTGTGTTTGTTTTCTGTTTCTTCTGGCTGGCATACTATCATGTCTAGCACAGTGTCATGTATGCTTATTAAGCAATTCAACAAAGACTTCTCTGATTGAGCTTGATAAACTAAAGGGAAAAACAAAAAAAAAAAAAAAAGAAAAGAAAAATGACCAAATGAGCAACTTATTATCTATTAATTCAAAAACTATGTTTTCCTTAAAATTCTCATAAAGAAAAAGCTCAGTACTTAAAACTGTGTACTTTTGCCAGTAAATTCATTTAGATTTTTACTTACTCTCAGATACTGCCTACTCTCAAGTGAACAGGCTTCAAACTTGTCATAATCTTGGTAATTTTTCTATTCCCTAAAGAATATTTTATCACTATTGCACAAACTGCAATATTGTTTTCTATTTGACTTTACTTAAATAGTAATTCACAGATCCATTGAAATCTTGCCCAGATAATGGAAAATAAAATCAAGAATAGTTTAAGCTAGGTGATATTACTTTTCATCTTACAAAGATGTAAGTTAATATGCACATGAAATAGATACTGGATTTTTTTAAAAGGAAAAACTCCACTAGCATACATTTATTGAATTTAACAAGGCATGTGTTATTGGCTCACTCTTTCTATCCTATAGGATTCCAACAAATTAAACTTCTCTAACTGGCAAGTTAGTAGTGTTGATGTAATGTTGCTTGTCCCTGGACAGCTGAGCTCAGCAACTCTAGTTCCATTTTTCCTTTCCAAAGGAAGGCTCAATAAACATTCCTTAGACAAATGTAATATGTTTGCTACATTTCAAGAAATTTAGTTCATATTTTTCTCTATAGTTCCGTTCATTGTTCCATGAGTTTCTGCAGATTTGGTTTGTTTGGGTAACAGTGTAAATTGTAGTAAAAAGAACAATATTCAAAGTAGCCCAAAGTAGTCCCAAGGAGGTTCATGGATCTGATATTAAAGGAAAAAAGATTCTTTTCACTCTACATGTATATATTTTATTCCACCATTCAGATATTCTATTTACTCCCTTCTTCCCTCACACCCTCCCTTCTATCCTTTCTTCCTTCCTCATTCCTTCCTTCTTTCCTTTTCATTATGGGTACATAGTAGCAATTGAAGTGGTTCTGTTCTTCCAATGTTGCTTCTTCCTCCTCTTCTTCAATTTGTAAACACAGTAATTACTATTGATAAAAATGGCAATTCTTTTACAAGATCACAAAATATCATGGACATAACCTCTTGGCCAATGATTTATAATTTAATGCATAAAAATAAATAAAATCTAATGCATTATTTTAACACCAGAAAAATATTTTACAGTATAAATACACCATAATTATCAACTAGTCCTTTGATGCATAACCAGATTTTTCCCAATGTTTTCCACCAACAAATTGGAGGTTAAAATTTTTGTTCATGTCTTTTCATATGGGTACTCAGGGCTCCAAGTGGGAATTTCAAAACATTAGACCAAGGAGTTAAAGGCTTATCCATCTGTATTTATATAGATCTATATAGAGATCTTTATGTATTAATATTTCCCTACATAGAGGTAGCATAGATGTTGCCACAATGTTTACCTCATCTCTGTTTTATTATATCAGCTTAGGTTTTCTGATGGAAAATTTTTCTTAACATTCAAAAAACAACAAAACATTATGCCTTGCTTTACTTTGAAAACTTCAACACAGAAATGAAATGTGCCTTAAATCAAACTTCTTTTTATAGTTCCCATGTTATTTCATGTTAACTCCTTATTTTTTAGTGGTCCATCCTCTGATCATTTTTTCCCACATTTATGACAGAACACTGTGAGGGCTTTATCCCCCTCACAGATGACCGTATTTGTTAACATCAGTAGAAGGAAGCATTACATTGCATCACATCTCGCTTCAGCATATTTACAATAGCTCATTTGTTCTTCATATTTTATAGTAAGCCTATTCTGTCAACTTTTTACGTTGCCATTTCAAATATTAGTCAACATACAGACAGCAAGATTCTTCTTCAGTTAGTGTTATAATTTAAAATATACATTATGGCTATGCTCTTATGAAACAAAGGTGAAAGGAATGTTTTCCTTCTTTCTCTGAGCCAGTAGTTTACTGGTTAGTCTCTTATGTACAATTGCTTGACTTGTGCAGTTAAAATGTGTCTGGGTAACACAAGAATAGTTTTTAATAAGAGGAATAACTTAGGACTAGAAAAGACCAGCCCTTTCTATTCATTGAACATTAACATATATCCTTTCATATTTTTCCAATACTGTAAGTATAGTTACAGATCAGAAACTGAGGCTGAGAGACAAGTAGGTTGCTCAAGGTCTCACATCAAGTAGGAAAGCGTACATTCAACCCTTTTATAGGAATCTGAGGCTCACACACTACAATATTCCTAGCTCCCTAATTAACTCGACTCACTGATCATCATCCGTTTTCATACCATTTTTCTCCTGTTTGTAAGTTATGTGTCAGTCTGAACGGCAGTCAGTGATGCAGGCATGAAGGTAACATTCCATTGGCTACAGTAAGGCTACACAACTGCAGTGGAATGAGGCGCTCTGGTCTACTGCTGAAGGGGAAGGAGAGTGAGTCCAGGTCCTGTACATTCATTGGCCTCTCTTCTGAGGTTGGCATTTCTCCCACAAACTTTGATGGTTGGTGGCAGGGCAATTCTACATGGAGCAGTTTTCTGCCTCAGACTTCACTCTCCTGATAGTGAAGATATTTCTACCCCGGTGTATTAAATCTACCCAGGAAAACCTAGATCAATGTTCTACTACCTGGGAAACCAACACACAGTTTTCTCTCTTTTGTTTCTTTAACCTTAAGGCTTAAGGTTTATTTGGAATATATATATATATATATATATATATATATAGAGAGAGAGAGAGAGAGAGAGAGGAGAGAGAGAGAAAGAGAGAGAGAGAGAAATTTCCAAAAAGCACACTGGAAAGTACCTCAGATGTCTCATGCTTAATAAACTGTGGAAAGGGAAGGGAGCCTAGTAACATTCTAATCTATGCAGCATTAAATTGATTCTTAAATAATTTGAGCACTTATAATTCTAGGAGATTTCCAACAGTGTAAATCTCAAGTACAATAGACATCCTGAATAGTGACAACCCACTGTAAAGGTGGGTTCTTTTCCCTGAACATGATTGGCTAACTATAATTCCATAGTGTATATAATTCTTAAATTGGCTGATACTATTTTATCCTTTGTCCTTGCATTAGGCATTTTGGATAGTATTGACATGGATGCAAACACAGCTTCACTCTTTTTAAAGGTGAATACAGAGGGAGGCCTCCCTTGAGAAGTTTGGGATGAGAGTGAAGGTGTGGGTAGGTGGAGGCTGTGTGTAAATGGCATGAGTATCTTTTTCTTAATTCTGCTACTGCCAATCAGGTCTTTGGGGAAGGAGATAAAGCACAATGCAGGGCCCATAATTCTTGCACGCTGAGGTTAAGAATGAACCACTACCTGCTGATCCTTAAACCAGTGTCGCACACAACTGGTTCCTGGCAAGATCAGCTGGCCATTAGTCTTAGCTCGGAAACCACCAAACCCAACCAAAGTCAAGACACCTTTAGTTCCTGCAGTGCCGGAGAACCCTGGAAGCTTGGGGATAGAAGGAAAGGAAGCGGCTGAAATCCCAGACGCTCCCCGGAGTTGGAAGGAAGAGAAGCAGAGAAGCGGCTGAACCCGCAAACGTGGACAGGGACTTCTCTCCCTGGAGGAGGAGGAAAGGGCGGTGGGGGGCGGGGTGCATGCAACTCCGGCAGAAACCACTGATGTTCAGCGAAAGGCATTCCTACAACTGCGCGCGCACGCACTCAGAGGAACCCTGGCGTACCCACACAACCCAAAGTCAGAAATCAGGACACAGGGCAACCTCTTTGTCCCCAGGACCACCCTGTTTGGGGGAGCACTCTCTACAAAACAGACAAGCGCTTCCTTCGTTTGATCTCACCTTCCAAGTTTCCAAACCTGGGACAGGGTGACTCTTGGCTGCGCTCTTGGCTCCAACCTACTCCAGGTTGCCCTGGGACCCAAAGGTGCCCTGGCGTGCCCTAGAAGAGCGGAGGCATCTCGCGCGCCTTCCAAGCTCCTGGCGAGGACAAAGGGGACCCGAATTCCAATAAAGAATCAGCGGGCTGTGGGGTGATGGGCTCTAAAGCTGCTCGCCAGTGCCGCGGGGGACAATACCCAGAGCCCCCATGCGCTTTCCCTTTCCCGGGGCACTCTCACCATTTGTAGCCTCGGCCGCGCTTGAACTTGAGGGTGAGCACAGTCTCCAGAAGCAGCAAGAGGTTGAGCAGCGCAAGCAGCCAGAATCGCGGCTCCTTTTTCACCTCGGTCACTCGCCAGACCCCGACCAGGGAGTGCAGCACGAACAGCAGCCGGGTGCCCAGGGCATTGAGGAGAACCAGCCCCTCCATATCGGCCTGTGAGCACTGCCCACGGATCCCTCCGGAGACACGCGGAGCCCGCCTGAGGGCACGGACGTGACAGCACTGAGACCTGCGGCTTCTGTGGTCCCCCCACAGCCGCCGGCACGCTCTGCCTGGTGGAACAGGAGAGCGCGGCTCGCCCCTCCCCCAAACTTCCTGAGAACTCTTCAAAGAGGGGAGACTCCAACCCCAGCTTTTCTAGACTGCTGGGTTTTCCGGAGAGTCTGAAACCGAGCTGCCCCGGCTCCTGGGCGTTATTCTCTGGCTCTGCCCATCTCCCTCCCCATGCCAGGGGACAGTCTCCATCCCTGGCCTCTGTCCCCACCCTCGGGCCCAGGAGTAGGAAAGAGGAGGAGGGGATGGACTGAAGGTCAAGGTGCTGCCAAGCCCGGACAGCGAGAGCGAGCGCCACTGGGCCACCTCCTCTTTACTTTTCCTCCACAGCGCTCTCTGGCATTCACTCCCACGCTTCACAGGAACACGCTGTCCTGGTGTTTCGAAGCTGGGACGCAGGGAAGCTCAAGAATCTGCAGTCCTAGCAGTTTTGGAAACGTGATTACTTAAGCCCCCCGCTAGGGAAAGGCTGGGGCTGTCTTGAACCTCACTTAATGAGTCGTCTTGGTAGCTTTCCCTCTAGGAACCAGAGTTGTTAAAGCAAAGACAAAGATGTCTTTATGCCATCTCCCTACCCCACCTCCACCATTGTTTCTTGGATAAGATATATATGGTAGCAAAATAGGTGGGTGGAAGGGATGATGAGAAGGCGCGGAATATAAAGCCAAATATGACATTAGAAGGTGAAATTCATGGATCTTGGAACTGCATTCTTGAAACCAGTGACCTAAGAATCGAACTCTTTGCAGAATCCAAGGCAAAGAGGAACCTAGTCAAAGTTTTCCAAATCATCTTCGTGATTTTTGTGTTCTTGTTTGGAGCCCTAACTCCTATGCTACTCTTTTCTTTACATTTTTCTTTAACTGGACTTGAATTTTTACCGAAATAAATTTATTTTAAAAAGAAACTTTAGAGACCAGAGTTGTAGCACAGCATCTAATTTAGGCAGGGCTTGGAGTGCTCCCATCCTGAGGCCAGTTTGAATCCTGGCTCTTCCTAGTAACACTCAGTTTCCTGTAAATGTGTCGGGGAGGCAGAGGATGGGGGATGATGCCTCAGGTCTGGGCTGCTGCTAGCCACTATCTAACAGACTCTGATGGAGTTCCAGGATCCTGGTTCCGCTTGGCTCAATTCTGGCTATTACAGGCATTTGCCGAGTAAATCAATGGATGGAAGACCTCTCTAGTGTGTTTGCCCTTGTGCTCCCTCATGCTGCTTTTCAAGTAGATGAAAATAACTTAAAAAAAAAAAAAAAAAAAAACACGTAGAATGTGTAACAACCAAAAAAAGAAACTTTGTATCACTTTTAAACAGATAGCCAGTATACTTGGTTATAAATAGATGGTAATTATAAAAATAATTAGGCTGGCGTTGTGGTTCATTAGGCTAATCCTCTGCCTGTGGCGCCAGCACCCTGTGTTCTAGTCCAGGTCGGGGCGCCGGATTCTGTCCCGGTTGCTCCTCTTCTAGTCCAGCTCTCTGCTGTGGCCCAGGAAGGCAGTGGAGGATGGCCCAAGTGCTTGGGTCCTGCACCCCATGGGAGACCAGGAGGAAGCACCTGGCTCCTGGCTTCGGATCGGCGCAGCACGCTGGCTGTTGCAGCCATTTGGGGGGTGAACCAATGGAAGGAAGACCTTTCTCTCTGTCTCTCTCTCACTGTCTAACTCTGCCTGTAAAAAAAAAAAAAAAAGAAGAAGAAGAAAGAAAGAAAAAGAAAAGAAATGAAAAAAGAAATGATGGCCTCTTTACTACCAAGCAAGAGTGTTCTCTTGACCATATTAGTACTATTGAAAAACACAAAGGGAGTATCTTTCCTAAGTACCATTTAGACTTATTCAACTTAAACACATGTCACACCATTCCTAAAATCAACATGAGAAAACTGAATTACAGAATCAATGTCTGCATTAGGTGAAAAAACAACAACTGCTTAGAAGAAGCTTGGAGTTATTTTCATTACTGAAATCTCAAGAACAATTTTTCCTGGGGGTTTGTATTGTCCCCCAACATCTTAGAGGAAACCCAGCTGTGATTTCCAGGGGCTTCTTACTATAAAAAGTTTCAGTGTAGACTGACAGTACAACTCGCTGTTCAGAGATGTGGACAAGCAGCGCACTGTAGACGAAGGCAGTGGAGATAGCAGCGTAGTGTGGAGGTCAGGGCTCCGGCACCCACCAACTGGCTGCTTTGAATTACTGTCTCCACCACTCAGGAGTGCTGTGGTTTCCATGTCCCAGTTTCTTCATTAGTAAGCTCAGTAATAAACCTATTTACTCCTAGCGTCATTTGTGGGGATCCATAGAGTTAATCCATATGAAGTGCCTGGTAGGTAGTAAGTGTTTTGTAGACCTGACATAATTGCCAGGCTCAAGAAAAGCTATCCAGAGTTTTTCTGGGATAATCCTAGACAGATAAGACTAGAAGCAGACCATGGGAACATGTTAAAACCTCCTCTAGACACCACAAAACACATTTTAAATTGAACATGTTAGGTTTCAAACTTTTTCAAGGAAGCAGACAAATTCCATCGCTATCAGCAGAGCATTTAAGGAAGGCATTAGAAAGTTAAAGCATGTTAGAAATGACTTATTGGAAAGGATTTGGGCTTGAAGTGGATGACTTTTGTGTTTCTCAAAGTAGGCATTACTCTAGCTTGTGTGCTATGAAGAAGTGGTATTGGTGTAGACATTTGTCTAACAAATAAGGTGGTGGTTAAGATGTCTATATGCCAAATCAGAGTATCTGGGTTGATATCAGATTCTGGCTCCTGACACTCCAACTGCTATTTGATGTGGACCCAGGGAGGTAGCAGTGATGGCTCCTGTAATTATGTTTATGCCATCTACTAGAAGACCTGGATTGAATTTCTAGCTTCCAGATTCAGCTCTGGTCCAGCCCCAGGCCCAGCCGTTGCAAGCATTTGGAAAGTGAATTAGAGGACTAGAGTGCTCTTTGTCTCATCTTCTCCCCACCCCCAATCTTAACAGAAGAGTTGATATTACTTTTATTATTGGGTGCCTTGAAAATCTAATTTAGGCAGGGAATTTTTTTTTGTGGTTTGTACAATATTCATGTTTGGACTGCATTTAGACATTATTATGGGGTAGTCCTATTTGTGTCCTGATCTATCATGATTTACAGAATGGCCTTGACTAATATTCTATGAAATTTTTATGTTCAAGAAGAGGATACCAAGACTTGGCTGATGGTGCCAGACCAGGTACCTCCTGTCAGGGAAGTCTTCTTCTCGGGCCACTAGAGAGGGCTTTCTAGGAGAAGGGTATAAACAAAGATGGCAACTAATCTGACTTCTTCCAAACATGTTGTTTATTGTTAATATTTAGAAGGTCTATGCATCTGAAAAACAAAACTCATATAATGAGGATCTAGAAGTTATTTCTTTTAAACTTCTAAGTTCATTTACAAAAACTGGAGCTTGGACAAATATCTTGAGATCTCCAATCTAACAGTCCAATAATCTTTTAAAAAGAAGAAAAACCTCATACAATTTTTGAAAAGTCTGTTCTTCTTGGAAAAAAACAATGTCAGCCTCATACATTCGGTTTTTGTGGTACAGCCAGGGGTTGCACTAAAGCGGAACTAGTGTAGCCTGTTTTCCAGGTAGAGGCAACCACTATGCCTCTCTTCCCTTCCAAAGGCAAAGTGAACATACTTATCAGGCTCCTCTTTCAACTTGAATTTGACTGTAAGAAATAGACTTTCTCAATCTATCTGGACTAAAAGAAGTTATTGAAAGGAAATTTGTGGCCTAAAAATGGAGATGGAATCCTTTGGGATTAAAGACAGGAGAGATAATAAGACAGGGAATTTGGGCAACTACAGCTGGAGGCAACAGGATCACAACGTTGCAATTTGAAAATCTTTGCACAGTGTTTCTCTGACCCTGTTGACTTCCAATCTAATTTCTCCATACTGAGTTCAAAATCTTGAGAAAAGGAATCTGATTGATTTCTTTCTACTGTAGGTACCAGGCTATACTGTAGGCTGCATTTTAAACAAGCTGTTTTTTAAAAAGATTTCATTATTTGAAAGTCAGAGTTACAGAGAGCAAGGGAGAGAGAGAGAGAGAGAGAGAGAGAGCAAGAGTGGACTCCACTTTCATTCACTGGTTCACTCCCCAGGTGGCTGCAATTGCAGCGGTGAGCCAGGTGGAAGGCAGGAGCCAGCAGCTTCTTCCAGTTCCCCTACATGTGTGGCAAGGGCCCAAGGACTTGGGGGCCATCTTCCACTGGTTTCCCAGGCCATGAGCAGGGAGCTGAATCAGAAGTGGAGCAGCCAGGACTCAAACTGGCACCCATATGGAATGGTGGCATCACAGGCAGTGTCTATACCTGCTACACCACAATGCAAGCCCCTGAACAAGCTATTGATTAGTTGAAATCCAGGTGTCAGCCATCGCTATACAAAGGCCAATTTCATATTGCTTCATTCATCTTTTTGAAAAAACATTTGTCATTCTCCTCTGCTGGAAGGCAGAATGACAGAGAGAGAGAGAGAAAGAAAGAGAGAGAAATAAGGAGAGTGAAAATAAGAGTGAAAGAGACCTTGTGTTCACAGGTTCACTTCCCAAATTCCTGTTATAGCCAGAGTCAGGCCAGGTCAAAGCCAGGAGCACAGAACTCCATCCTGGTCTCCATGTGGGTGGCAGGAATCCAAAATATTTAGCCATCTCCTGCTACCCCTCCTCCACCCCCCAGGAACCTTAGCAGGAAGTTGGATTGGAAGCAGAGGTGTTAGGACTCAAATCAACACACTGGTCTGGGATGCAGGCACCACAAGAAGCAGCTTAACTCACTGTACAGCTTCACCCCAATCCCTCTTCATCTTTAACATGAAATTCTGAGCAGAACAGTTTGAGAAAGTGAGGAATGGGGCATATCAGCACACAGATATATCCAGTACCATCCAGCCGTGGGATATGTACACATCATATACGAACAGTGCCACATATGCCCCTGCCTAGTACAGTCTACATCATTGTGCATACAGTACACACTCACCTATGGCCTTCCAACAGGAATGTAATCCAAAGTCACATAGCATCCAGAGGCCACCAAAGTTTTGTTTGACTCAGAACTCAGAGTCTCCTTGTTACCTTCATTCTTCCCTTTGCTGCATTTTTATCCTAATCAGACATCACTAATATTTAAATGTGTGTGTCTGTGTGTGTGCATGGTGGGGTGGGGGAGAGGATGTGTAGTATGACATGGAGAAAAAACTATGTAGGAAAGTATAAGCCTATTCCCCTTATTTTCTCTAGTGCTCACAATTACACCTTTAAAATATATTTTACATGTCTCCATTTCTTGATTTACTCACTTATAACACTTTAGT